AAGGAGTGGGTCCCAGAACAAGTAGGAATAGATGAGGTCCCAAAGGTAATGTTCCAGAGGGCTGGTGAAATGGAGGCTTCGTGGGATAGTAGCCAGATGCTGGGTGCATGGGCAAGCACTGTGTTCGGAGCAGAAGGCTGACAGCACAATGAGCTGAAACAGACTTTTGCAGGAAGAGAGGTGAAGGAGGGCAGTGGGCTGTGGGCAGGTTGGGGGAGTATCTGGAAACTAATGATAACAGGGTCACTGGTTGGTCAGATGTGGAAGACAAGAGAAAACTCAAGGGTGACTCCAAAACTTAGTTAGCTTTTTGCATAGAGGAAGAAAACCACAGGAAGAGAACTTTGGTGGGACCTGAACCAAATACTCCTAATAGGAAATACATTATTTGTTTCGGCTAGATAAATACCTTACCCTTAAGATGAATTGCTTTCTGGTTTTGAGACAGGGTCTTGTTTTGTAGTTCAGGCTGGCTTTGAACCCAAGAACTCCTCTACTTCATCTTCTGAGTGCTGGGGACTTCTAAGCATGCACAACTACCCCTGACTTTTTCTAATTGATGTCTGGTTTTTAGTTTCCAGCTAATGCTGTTCAGAAAATCACTTGCCCCCAAATTGGAAGATTTGTTTAAAATCTTATCCAGGGACTCAAGTGCTATTTGGATATCTCAGATTACTTATATCTGTAGAGCACCTGCTATGTGCCTTCAGGATGCTTGGTGCTTAAGGACTTGATCTCCATTTAAAATTCATAATTATGATATGGAGAAAGTGGTTTTGGTATGTGCTGGTGGGGTTCAGAAAGGTCAAAGGACTTGTCTATAATATACAGCCGGATCCTGATAGGGCTGGACCTGAAACCCTAATCTCTGGCTAGCAGCTCTGACTAAACTCAGGGTTGTGTTCTTCTAACACACACTTCTCTGGCACTTATCTAGAAGTCTTAGACAAATACAATTTTAAAAATATGCAAGAACCACAGAAGGCTCAATCTCTGGACTCTACCGTGCAGGTTCTAGACTTTGCTGAGAAAGAACACTGTCGTGAAAACTTAACCATTTCATGGTATTAGTTAGTCAGTGGTGCTGGAAGGGCATAGTGCATTTCTTTTTTGATAGCAATTTGCAGACAGCCTAGTCACAATGTGTGGGACTGGTTAATTCATGTCTAAGGGCTGTAAATTTAGGTGAACATTAAGTCTAGAGGTGAGACAGTTTCTGCCTCTTAGGATTTAAAAAATTTTTTTTTCTATTTTGAAAGAACATGCTACCTCTTGAACTCTTCAATCTAAGCCACATATGCACCCATTAAAGGAACAGAGAATCTTTGTCATGTGACCTGTGAAAAGCTACCAAGATGCAGTGGCTCCCTAGTGTCGAAGTCAGAAGAGAGCCAGAAAATATCAAGGCCATTGAGCAGGCCCTCCCTAAAAGGGTGATTACAAGGGATCCCTACTTTTGTAACAGCTAGACAACATCTGAAATGTTTTTCTTGCATCCTTGCAAAAACACATAAAAGATAAATGAGAATTCTCCAACACTACTTCTTCCCACTCTGTCTCCTTTCCTTTCCTGGTTCTCACCATTGAATCTAAGGCTTCAGACATTTTAGCTAGTCAAGCACTACCGATGGGCTGGGCTATCCACAACACTCCAGTCCTAACCTACTGTTTGAGAAACCAAGGCTCAGAGCAGTGGTAGGACCCACCCAAGTTCACCAATTAACAGAAGCCAAGTCTTCCTCCTCTAGACCATTGTTCTTTGTTCTACACCAGTATTTCTTAACCAGGGGCAATTTTGCCACCCAGAGAACACTTGGCAATGTCTGTAGATATTTTGGTTATCACTATGGTCATGGGAATATAGGATGGTACTAGCATAATATTAGGTAGAGGACAGGGTATGATATTAGGTACCCTAAGATACCCAGAATAGCCACATAAAGAATGATGTTAATAATGCTAGTGCCAGAGTAAAGAATCTTTTTCTATACTATATAATTATAGGCTATACAATGACAATATTAAGAAGTAATATATTAGCCATTTATTATCCTTAGAATTAGCCAAAAACCATAAGAAGAGTTCATATCCATCATCTCAGGAATAAGTAATTCTATAGCCTCTGAGTAAGGACACTTAAAAAAATACACACACACACACACACACACACACACACACACACACACACTGAGATTCCAAGATGTTAAATACTTTGTCTAAGGTCGTATAGCTAAAAAATAGAACCATAGCTAAAAATAGCTAAACATAGCTAAAAAAATAGATGGACCTACAGTTCGTCTTCTAAGTTCTGTGACTGTATGCATGTGTGAGTGTGTGTGTGTGTGTGTGTGTGTATTCATATATATGAGCATATGTGGAGATAGATGATGATGATGAAGAAGATAGATAGATAGATAGATAGATAGATAGATAGATAGATAGATAGATAGACAGATAGCTCAAGAAGAACTCTTGGACTGACAAGGTATCTCAGAGGGTAAAGGCTCTTGCCACCAGGTTCTATCCCAGGGACCCACATGGTGGAAGGACTCCTGCAAGTTGTGCTCTGACCTCCACATACATGACATGGTATGTTCATGTGCGTGTACACACAGCCATGCATGCACACAGACATATAAGTATAAAATAATTCTTTATCTTGCAATGAGTTCTGTGGTGTGAGACAGATTGGAAATGAGTCATTTTCCTTCTCTGTCTCAAGTAGGATAGAATTTCAAGGGAATGTTCTTGCATTCTCTAGTTTGGTCAAAGTTAAGGAAATTTTTTAAATTGCCATGGGATTTCTCATTTTCCAACTGAAAATTTTTGTTTTAGTTTCAACTAAGCCTTAAAGAAATAGTGTGAACTTTAAGCAGAAAATACAGACACTTGTTGCACTTTCTAAAATACCAACACTTGAAGTTTGTTGAGGATTGATTTACCTGTATATTTTTACTCTATAATAGAATATAAAATTAAGTTCAGCCTGACACAGCTATTTAGAATTCAGGGATTTGACTTTGCAGGATTGGGTGCATTTTCTAGGCCTTAGAATACCTAGAGAATTTCTAAAGGAAGCGTTTTCTTTTTTAAGGATGAATGACAGTTTGAGTAAGACCTCACCTCTCATTCTCCCTGTTTGTCATTCATGTCCCGAGCATTTCTGACATTAGGAAGCTTGTCACTCACTGACGCCAGTTTGTGTTGAGCTTCTGTGCTTTTGACTGCAAATGAGTAGATAGACCATGCCTTAAGGAAACATACAATCTAGTAAGAGAATCAAATTAGAGGCATAGAATCACATTAACCCCTTAGCTGGGTGATGTCACTATATCTGCCATCTTTATACTTTTCAAGCTAATGATTTGTGCTTGGTATCATCATGATGACGGCTACCTGTGAACACCTTGCTAGATTCTTACACCAGGATCTGGCTTCAGGCTCAATTGGTGCTCAGTAAGACATGTTGTACTGGTTAATTTCATTCTCTCCGTAACTACAAGATAAGGGACCATCTTCATTTTAATGATGGAGAGGCTAGAAAGATATTTGTTTTCCTAAGGTAAAACAGGTCACGGGACCCCTCCTGCCCTCTGTCCATCGTGCGAAACCTGTTTCAAGAGCAAACTCAGGCTCCTTTTGGAGAAATGGTCACTCTCTTACCATTTTCCTTTGCTGTTTCACCATCCTGATCCCTGTGCCTTTAGGATACTGTCCATTGATTTCTTTATTCACAACTCCAAGGACATGAGAAAGAGCCTATAGTTGTAAAGTATAATGACATTGACCTTTGCCCTTTCCCCACTGTGTCCCATTTCTAGTCTCCTGATACGACATCCAGTTTTCAGAGCTGGCCTTGCTCTGGCCTGCTGAGCTTCACTGCTTGTATCTCACCTCTATCCCCTGGCTACCTTCCACGCAGTGAGCTTTGGGTGAGGTGGAAACTAATCAGAAACTAAATTGAAGAGGAAATATTGTGTCAGTGTTCTTTCCAACTGGCACCTGGGCGGCTGTAGCCCTTGCTTCAGCTTTTCTGCTCTGGAGTAGAGTCGTGGGGGCTTCCTACCTCTTGGAGTACCCTTCAGAAAGCTCTAGCATTTCCCTGTAGCTGTTTATTCCCTTGCTTCTTTCTCCATTCTCCACTGGTTGAGCTCTCTGTTGGCGGAGGTGGGTAGAGGCTTGCCGTTTGGGGGTGTATGGGGAGGCAGAACCCTGTTTGTGTTAGTGTTTACATGTTCAAAACCCCACCCTCTCTTTGACTGCATCAAACCTGCTACATGTTATCTGTTTCTCCTTATGTAAAGGTCTTGCCTCTACCAAGCTGGGATCCTAAGCAGAGGTTCAGCTTTCGCCAGTGCCCACTGTGAGAAAAGTTAAGAGGCCAAGGGGCTGCATGTGAAGTGGTTGTTCCTGGCCCATTGCTTCTGTCTTTCCTTTTAGCATCTTGGCATGCAACAGTTTGCCAAAGGGCATGTTGTTAGGTTCTGTACTTGACTAGCCTTGACTTGTCCCAACAACCTCACAAACTCCCCCCTTGGGTTCTGCTTTGTCACAGGCCATTTTTGACAGTGGGGTAGTTTACCACTCTAGGCAGGGCAGATGTTTTCCAGATTTCGAACACTGCAGCTTTTAACTCACTCTGTCAGCAGCCTTCTCCCGTATTTCATACAAGACCTGTTGCGAGGCAATTTGTCACTCAGCTGTTTTTTTAAACCAAAATTGAACATTACAGCGAGCTGGATGGTGGCAAGGGATGGAGACAAATCTTTTGTAGTCTGTGGCGTTCTAGAAGAGCTATTTTAGTGCTGTAGATTTCTAAAATGTACTTTAGTTTCTAGTCTTTTGTATTTTCAACAAAGAAACAAATATTAGTGGCTCAAACCAGACTGCTCAGCTACATTATATTCTCAGCCATAAAATAATGTGGGTTTTGGTGTTGGTAATGACGACGATGGCTTAGTTTAAGGCTAGGTGGTTGTTGTTGTTAGGTGGTGATGGTTTTAAATATTTAATGCTTCACAGATTTGCATGACATCCTTGCACAGAGGTCACGCTATTCTTCTCTGTATCATTCCAGTTTTATTATATGTGCTACAAAAATGAATGCTAGCTTTATTTTTTTAATTACGGATAAACCTGTGCACATATGTGGATCTGCATATGTGAATGTGTTCGTGCATGCGCCCACAGAGTCTAGGAGAGGGACTTGGATTCCCTGAAGGTAGAGTTACAGATAGGTGGCTGTGAGCCAACCCACACCAGTGCTAGGAACTGAACTAAGGTCCTTTGCAGTCGTTAACCACTGAGCTCTCTCTCCAGGCCCTGCTGATTTTTAACTATGCCTCAGCTGATATGCTCAGCTGTTGACCTACTGTATAGCTGATCTTGAAATAAACTTTACAAAACATCACTCTGTGGACCCATGCCAAGATGAAATGCTCATTGCCTCTGGTTTGTTTGTTTGTTTGTTTGTTTGTTTTTAACTTTATTTTATTTTTTTGTGCATTGGAGTTTTGCTTGCATTTATCTGTGTGGGGATGTCAGATTCCCTGGAACTGAAGTTTCAGGCAGTTGTGAGCTGCCATGTGGGTGCTGAGAATTGAACCCAGGTCTTCTGGAAGAGCAGCCTGTGCTCCTAACCACTGAGCTTTCTCTCCAGGCTCTCATTGAGTCTTTTTGATGACAGGATTCTGATATTCCACAGTGATGGCTGATATTGACTTGGTGGTCGTCATTCATGCTTTCGACAGGAAACAAAAAGCACAGACAGACAAAGGGGAGTTTGGGTAATTGTTTAAACAGGTATGTTCTCAAGAACATGGAGCCAGGAAAGAAAGAAACTTGCCTCCCACATGCTTTGCCTGCATCCATCCGCTGCTGTTCTTTCTGACTAGCTGTGAAAGAGAGATCAGGGGTCCCCATTGATAGTGCTCAGAGAAGTCATCTTCAGCGTGATGCTGGACCAAAAAAAGAGTAAAAGTGGATCTAGCAGTGTGAGAACCCTAGAAATTCATTGATTTGGCATTGCTTTGTAGGAGTCAGGAGTTTTGTAGGGCCCGGAATAAGTTCTGTTGACTCAAATTTATAAAATGGGAGAACCTTGGGAGGACCATGAGACTTGTCGGTCTCTGTGTAAACACTGCCAGGTACCTCCAGTGATAGAACTCTTGTTCTACTCTGAAATGAGGTGGTTCCTAGCACTCCCAGGTCTACCTCTATAACACAGAAACCAAAGCTGGTGAGCTGGGGGTGCGGTGCAGAGCTGGAGTATTTGCCAAGCATCACAGTCCCTAGCCCCACCTTGGTACTACAGATGTGAAATGTCTCACCCTAACCTTTCTCTTTGTCCTATAAGACATATAGTTCTCCCTTTTACTTACCCATCCTCTTCCTCTGCCATGTCTCTGGCTTTCTCAAAATAGGAGACGCGTCTTTAGAGTAGAAGACAGCATGTAGTGTTTTGTAGCCAGGGTGAGCAGGAGAGGTCCGTGATATGCTTAGTTTTATCTGAGTGTTGACAGTGGAAGCTGCCATGGGGCTGCTTGGAAGGCCATATGTGATGTTCTCAATTTCATCATGCTGTGCGTGTTCCACCTGAACCGTGAACTTGTCAGTGAGATGTACTAACATCCTTTGAGGGGAAAGGAATGAGTTATATCACTGTTTGGACTTTGTAAATCATAAATTGTACAAGCAAGGCCTTTCCTTCAGCCAAAATGCAAATTCCAGTATTTATCTATAAATTTCAACTGATGATTTGAATGCATGATTTTAGTCCCTAGTCTCAGCCCCCTTCAAGAGGGAGAAGGAAACTGATAAAGTGAACAGGCAGTTCCTCTAAAGTGTAGTAGCCGTCTATAATTTCATCCTGATTTGCTGTTTAACAGTATTAGTTAAAAGCACATGGCAAATTACAAATCCCCCCAGGCCTACTACCACCCCACCCTCCTTATCACCCATACAAATGGCATACATCAGCCAAGATATTCGGTCAAATATGTTCCCAGAGTTTGAATGTACTGGATTTATTACTAATAGGTCTATCAAAAGTGAAAGGGATTTAACTTTTAAAACCTAGTCAATGTTTCCACTCAAAGTCCAGGAAGACCATGAGCAAAGGACTCAAACGTATCTTTCTCCAAAGATCTACCAATGGCTAACAAACATATGACAAGATGCTCAGTGTCCCTTCTCACTAGAGAATACAAATCAAAATGCCACAGAGTCACCACTTCATGCCTATTAAGATGCCCACTATTCTTCACTTCCCCTCAAATCAATAGCAAGTGTGAGTGGGAAACTGGGAAAATTAGAATCTCTGGGCAGTGGCACAGAAATACAGAATGAACACCTGCTGTGTAGAAAAATACAGAGGTCTCTTTGAAAAGTAAAACCAGGATTCACATATAACCCACCAGTCTGATTTTTAGGTATTTATTTCAAAAGAATTGAAGTCAGGGTCTCAAAAAGGTATTAAACACCCTTGTTCACTACAGCAACCCAAATACTCATGAACGAATGGACAGTGTTTGGCTAGTTTTATGTCAGCTTGACACAAGTTAGAGTTATTTGGAAGGGGGAAACTGCAATTGAGAAAATATCACCGACAGATTGGCCTATAGTGTGTTTTCTTGACTGACAGTTGATGACTGATGTGGGTGGGCCCAGTTCACTGCCGGTGATGCCATCCATAGACTAGTGGCCCTAGGTGCTATAAGAAAGCAGGCTGAGCAAATCATGAGCAAGCATGGAAGGAGTATTCTCCCATGGACTCTGTACAAGCTCCTGCCCTAACTTCCCTGGATGGTCATATACAGGCTGTAAGATGAAATAAACTCTTTCCTCCCCAAGTTGCTTGTGTCCTAGTGTTTTATCACAGCCATTGAAACCCTAAGACTAGGGGAACAAGGCACATGCATGCCATAGAATATTGTTCGGTTTTAAAACGAAGGAAATTCTATTATTTGGTACAACATGATAAACTATGAGGACATTATTCAAAGATAAGAGAGCCACAAAATAAGTGCTGTGTGATCCCATTTGTGTGAGAATGGAAAATAGTCAAATTTGTCAAAATGGAAGGTGGAAGGTGATTGCCATGGTGGTGTTGGGGCGAGGAACAAGGATGGATAGAAGTTTCAATTTTGCACAATGAAGATTTCCTTGATGCCATTTGCATAATAATACATTTATCATCGGTAAGCTATATGCTTAAACATGGTTAGTTTCAGTCTGTGTGTTTTTAACTTTGGAACTCTCTTCCTTATTAAGGAAGATGGCCCCGGTGTTGTTTTGGTTTGTTTGTTTTTCTTTTTCACAGAAGGAGAGAATGGAGCCCTGATGTTAGCTTTAGTATACTTGTACAGATTCCATTTACTAAGATGTTCCCGGACTGCTCAAAAATGGGCCGCATTCCCTTAGTATGACTAAGACATTAACTGCAGAGGAATCAGTTTCATCATTGATAGGTGCTAGTCCACTTTTGAGCACAGGATTCATCTGCGAATAAACAGTATGTTCTGGGTGTAGCCTCAAGTCAGGGGCTTAAATGCTGGGCATGCCTGCCAACTGAAGACCTAATTATGGTTCCTTCTCCCTTGGCTCCTAGGCATATATTAAACTATCACCAATACAGCCATCTGCATGGTACATCCCCACTTATTCCATGGTTTTCAGATACATGGTAGTGATTCCTGTTTTCTATGGTTTTTACAACTTTTTCTGATGACTCGTTAAGACTCATTTCATTTCCTTTGAATTCTAAGGTTCTACATAATTTCTTCCTACCTTTGCTGTTTAAAAAAATCAGTGCATTTTGCTTTAACTCGGGGTTATCATTTTAGATGATAATTTTACTTTACAAAAGTCCCTCTAAAGAAATCATGTCTACCTTGCTTTAAGCACCTGGATTTTAAAAAAGTGGGTATTTTTTCTAATATAGTTAGTTACTAATCAAAGTATTGAAAAGCATTGTAAAAGTAAAATAGGAATGTCAGGTGTGTGATACCAAGCTGTTGATTAAAAAAAAGAAAAGAAAAAAAGAAAAAGAAAGAAAAGAAAAGAAAATTAACCACGTGATCTTGCCTACATTACTGGTTCCAAAAATCTCAAGTACTCGACATGATGTAAAAACTGCATAATTTTTAAAGTTATCCTAAAGTTTTAAAAATCTTCACCATTCTAATGTCTAGCCAATTTCTCTGCAGTGTGGTTGAGGTGTATGGTATATCAAGCAAACAGTAAGAGCAATGGCCTTTGCTCCAGTGTGCTGAGTATGTCTGTGCCTAGTATGATCCCCATAGATGGAATCCTCATTGATAGAGAATCTTGGCATCCAAATGATGGCCATCATCCCCATCTGATACTGTGGGTAACTGTTTGTGTTTTAATTTAGGAAGCGTGACAGTGTTGGCGGCAGAGGACTCTGCTACAGTCTAGCTTTTGTATATCGTTTATTCTTTCTCAGCTTTAAGGTCTTATCGTGTAAATTGAGGTCATGCTAAAGTGCCAGGTTAAAATGAGGAGTGAAACTGCTTAAGTTGTAAAGGCCAGACGGGGCCAGGAGAAATGCGTCCACGGGTAAGGGCGCTAAGTATCAAGCGTGAAGACCTGAGTTTGATTCCCAGGACCCACAATGTTTAAGGAAAGGATCAATTTTCTCTATTCTCTGACTCCAAAGGCACACTATAGCACAAATACACCACACACACACACGCACACACACACACAATACAAGAATTTTTTTAATATAATACCCAGATAGTATTTAGTTTTATAATTTTTGTCACAAAGGCTGATTGCTGTTCTATAGAGCATCTTTTTTTAAGGCTTGTTGTTGTTGTTGTTCCTGCTGCTGCAGAGACTGGATCCCCTTCTAGCCAAAAGCATATAGTGGCAATCCGGGAGGAATGACTTTGAAGTCTTGGGTTCTCTGAGCCTATCTTTTATCTCTCCCAACATGACCACCTATTGTCCCTTGGGACTGGTGCACTTGGCAAGAAGACTCTGCCTGCTGTTCTCCATGAGTCCTCTCTGTAAGCAGAGGAGCCAAGTCTGGCTGTGTTAAAAGGATTTAGCCTCTTGAAGTTTATTCTCCAGCAGACCCAC